TCGTCGCCGTTCTCGCCCCATGGGGCGGTCCTGGCGGCGCGTATGTGCGAGTGATGGCCCGAGGCGCGAGCGACCCGGCTGAAGCCGGCGCCCGCGTTGTCCTCCCCCTCCCGCCCATCTCCCCCTCCTTCGTCTTCACCATTATCGCCGCCGCCGCCCGGCGACGGCGGAGGAGAGCCACGGCCACCCGGGGCCCGCTCCCTGTTTTTTTGCCTCCTCCTTCTGCGACATCACCCGTTCGCAGAAGGAAGAGAGGATGCCTTCCAGGCCCTCTCCCCGCCGACTATTGACAGCCGGCAGGGAGAGATCACCCCCTATCTTCTGGACTAGGACACCGCGCTCGGGCCTCGAGCGTATGTTGCGCGGTGTCCCGGTCCCCATCGCAGTGGCGACAGCGCGCGGTCAGCTTGTTACCTATGCGACGCAGGTACTCCCCGAAACATCCGTGTCCGGTGAGGACCACCTGCGTCGTGTGGAACGATAGTCCGCCCCATCCTTTGCCTACCCATTTCTCTAGGCAGGGAAGGATGGCCTCCACGGTCCAGTTGCCCGTTGTCGGCGGGCCATTCTCGAGAGTAGCACGCCACTCTCTAAAGACCCGCCGACGTTCCCTCTCAATCGGTCCCCGGGGTTACGATCCCCCCCCGAAGCCGAATGGCCTTCACCCTGGCGTAGGTCTCCGCCAGGGCGTCGGCCATGTACTCGGCAGAGGGGATCCTCGCGAGGACCACATACGACACCTATAGGCCCTACAGATCCTAAGGGCCAGCTGCCGTTGCACGTTGTGCAACCTCTCTTGTATACGGCGGTTGGCCAGGACCCTCTCGCTCCATACCGGGGCCCCGTAAAAGGCCCCGGACAGCACGGCGTGCATATACGTCCGCTTGACCGACTCATTCGGACCGCGAAGGTTGGGCATGAGGCTGAGCAGAGCATCTGCCCGGCTGCCGAATCGCGGGGCTAGTCTGTCGAAATGTTCGATGAAACCCTGCGATTATCCAAGGTGTGGCCCAGATACTTGATAGTGAGCCCCACCGGGACGCGGAC